ACGAGGCAGAAGCCATTGTGGGTGCTGGAACAGAGACTACAAGTTGGGCTCTGGGTGTAATAACCTACCATCTTTTGAGCAAGCCAGAAATTCTAGCAAAATTGACAGAAGAACTGAAAACTGTCGTTGATGACGCAACAAACTTGCCCTCGTGGACTGTTCTTGAGACTCTGCCATATCTAGGCGCGGTTATCCAGGAGGGACTCCGACTTTCATACGGTGTATCTAGCCGCACTGCTCGCGTACCAACGGAGGAAAACCTACTTTACCGCGGCGAATGGAACAAGAAGAAGGTCCAATACGTTCTTCCCAAAGGTTACGCTATCGGCATGTCATCATTCATCACACACCACAACGAACGCACCTTCCCGAACTCCTTTGAATTTTCCCCCGAGCGCTGGCTAGACGAGAAGAACCAGCGAAGGAAAGAGGTTGAGCGCAGCATGTTATCTTTCTCCAGAGGTAGCCGTGCCTGCGTAGGCATGAAGTAAGTATACTCCTGTTTTTTTTTTCTAAATGAACTTTGGGAATATTGTTGCTAACATAATGACTAGTCTTGCTCTTTGTGAACTTCACCTGAGTCTGACGGCGTTGGTTCTGCGTGTGCTGCCACATATGCGCCTGTGGGATACGACCGAGGAAGATGTTCTTTATGACCACGATATGTTTATTCCTATGACCAAGCATAATAGGGGTATTCGGGTGAAGATTGACTAGTTACTCAGCTTAGCGTATCTAGCCAATAGTATGTGTATAACAATGAATGCCACCGAGGCGGTTTAGCCATATTTTGAGGCGTTTCCTTTATTTGCGCTCAAATGAATCTTTATGTTGAGTTTCTCATTTCACAGATCTTTGTTTCGCGTTTTGTTCTCTTGTGTTGATAGTAAATGGCTATTCTAGGCTTGGCCGGACGAATCAGCTCGACACCTCTAAGATACTTACATAAATACCATGGTGTTTGAAACCAGTGATGGCATATAGCCGTTGGAAAAAGAAACTTTTCAAAGAACCTACAATAGATCCGGGTGGTTTACTTTCTTATTCATCCACGTACACGGTAGCTTTGGCAAAAATATCCTTACTAGTGCACGTTGAACGGGGTCTCATCATCAATACATCAACAAACTATTTCATTATGATAAAGGATCTTGAAATCCTATATTTCACCTCATCCGATGTTGATTTCCAACGCTAACTAGCTTGGGTCTGGGTAGAGGTTAAGGAGGTAATACCGGTCCGACTAGAGAGAGTTTCCCCCTTGTAGTGATGGCGGAGGAGGAGAAGGAGAAGACGTGATTGGGATTGAAGATGTTCTTCTTAAAGTACATGGAAAGTCTGCTGGGTCTGCTTCTTGTGTACAATTTACTATTCCCACAACACGTGTGATACAAACATGTATTTCTGAGTCCGTGGGTTTCGCCGGCTAATATACACAACGAGGCAGTTTTTTTTCTTTTTCTTTTTGATAAAGCTGCAGCTCTCATGTTTAAATATGGTGGCTTAGGTGTTACCTTTACTGTGGATTTAGGGAGCAAGGGCTGATATAGAGAAATACACAGGATGTAAGGGAACACTACGAAAGGAACTGCATGAGCTGAGGGCTGGGTGCGCGATATTAGTGCATGTTGTTTATTTCAGTTAACATGGTTTTGAATCCCGAGGGTTTGGGTGCGTGTGGCTATGCTGAAGAAATTAATGGTAGGAAGTTAAATAGATAGGTGCGAAAGTTGTATGCTGGTGCAAAGACGAAGCTTAGGTCTACATTATGTTGGCATACTATACACGATATGTCACTTAGAGGTAGAGCAGGGATATGTGTCTGTTTCGAACGAGGCGTTGATGGGATGATACCTGTTGGAACTGGTTGACTCGTGCACATGTTCCTCTGAATGTATTAGCGCAGCAACTTTCATCGTATTCGCGCAGTATCTCACACTTGAACTTTATAACCTTATTTCCCAGAGACAGAGAACAAGAGAAAACGTAGCCGGGTGTCTCCTGCCCCCCCCCCATCCAAATACGTTTTGACACAACTCTTCTGCCTTCCTCTTTATCAACCAGTGTCTCGGTTTCCGCGACGCATGCAGAAACACGAACGTACCAATAAAAGGCGTACGCTCATTCACTTTGCTTGTTCAACTATAAGCCACAATGATTATCTGCTTTCGACGCTTTTCCGGAAACTTCCTCTTGCGGTATGCGCAGATACCGCATTCTGGCGCCGTGACGTTCCTCGTACCGATGATATGGGTCACCAAAAGTAACGTCAGTGCACTGGCACACAAACAAAACACAGTTCCCATTGAACCCACACAAAACAGACCTATGAAAGAGAGTCTTGGCTGTCTTCGTGACTGAACCTTTGGGTCGGGTCGGACAAGCAATGTTAGATGTGCACCGTGGCATCTTGATAGATGAGTTATAATGCATCAGTCTCTCCAAGTTAATCCAAGCGGCCATGACTCGATATGGTTGTACTAGTGCACGATTTATTCTCCTTTCCGCTGTCTACTATCGACGGATCTGCTGGATTTCCCGTTCTGGTATTTGAAACATGTTTACGAGGAAGGGTGGGAGGGTCCCTCAATATGCGGAGTTTAAACCGCAACTTGGATATGGACAGGTCAGGTTTTGGATGCGCAGCTAGCCTCAAGCCACAGTATAAAAGGGGATATCAATTTCTCCTTTTCAGGTTTGCAAATGGGTTTATAAGCTGTTGCCCGGATCCATGTCTGTGAATGTCTGTGGCTGCTAGCAGAACATGGATATTTGCTCCGCGGCCATCTTGTACCAACGCGCTTTCTTGCTCTCTCACAGACACACCCCATGTTTTCTTTTGCTATCTCGGGCCTCGTAGTGCTCTCGCTACCACTCGGCCGAGGCCTCGATGCAACCTTTGCAGTCTTAGGTCCCATTCTTTCGCGTATCCAGCTGTCTGGTTGGCAGACGGCTGCCGGGTAGCGGGATGCGCAGATATCGACGCTTTTGCTGTTTCTGTTCCTCTTCTGGCAGTAACAGGCATAAAGGCGCATGCCAACAAAGACTCGAGACACGAAAGCGGAATGGTGTACCAAGGCTAGGGATCTGACAGCCGTTTGCCGTAATCGATGGTTTATAGCCGTAGACTTCCTTTCTGGGTATGTTGGCTGATTACCGGCTGTTGTTGCAACTGAGGTGTGCCAGACAAGTCACGTCCAGAACAGCTGCACAATCACATGTTTTTTTTGAATGGAGGTCATGTAATACCACTGAGGACTGGAGAGAAATACGTCATGGAGCAAGCAGGTCGTATCTGACATAGATATGCATACGTACACAGATGCACGAGTGAAGGGAATACGAGAGAGGCGTGGAAGACGTCACATGTGGGCGAACACTAGAGTTCCCCCAAGTACACAGCCACCGAATATCCAGGCGCATTAAGCGTGGCGCAAACACCAATGCATCTGCATCGACTATCCCATTGCCCAGACGCATCTGATCTGATGTAGTAGATAGAACCGTCTTTGGGCCATGGCGAACCGGAAATGCGCGTCTCATAGAGCGACCCACTTGCGGGCTGGTCGGCCTTGTCTTGCCGCGGGCCTCAACCTAGTGCAACAATGACGTACTTGGTCGCGGATGCTGGCGCAGATCCCGCCAGGCACATTACATCTTCACAACCCGCGTCAACCCTCCTTCTTCCTTATAACAACTGAAATATTCCAAGATTCCTCCCCAGATCCTTACAGTAACCCAGCACAAATTACCAGACTTGATTGTGTTCATAAAACCTCAGTCATCATGGATGTACGTACCGCTATAAGCTACAGCATGGGCTTAACGAAGACTCCACCAGACGAGCAAAAGCTGACGAGGATGAACAGGTCTACTACTTCTACTCCTACGGCACCGCCGCATGGCTCAGTATGTTCTCAATCGCGTCTTTTCAGGCGACGACAAGTTTGCTAACGTGAAAAATAGTGACGCAATCCGTGCCTCTCATCACCTCCCCCACAATGATCGTAGCATTGCTGTCACCAGAGGTTCGCGAAGCGACGAGTATGTGATCTCTTAGTTCGCTTTATATTTCAGAAAAAGTACATTCACCAATAACACAAAATAGCTCTGGAAGTCTACTTCAGCCGTTCGCTCGGCCTCACGCTGATAGCGTTGGGAATTCTTACGGTGCTCCTCACAGGCTCTGTGCCGTTATCAAGTCGTCTCTCAGAAGGTGCGTCCCTCTCCAGGCCTCATATGTGATTACTGTATGAACCTCATCTAACTTGCTACAGGCGCAACAACCCAAGCCGAGGATCCAAAAGCACCATACGCACTGCCAACCCTTACCATAACCGCCATGTTCCACGCCGCTTATGCCTTTTATGGATACGCCATGTGGACCAAGACTGGAGTCATGTCTTTTAGCCTGGGTACACTTGGTTCTGGTTTCCTGGCCACGATCGCGCTGTGGTGCATCTTGTTCGCTAGTAGCAACGGCAGGATCAGCAGGAAGACTGGTGCGGATAAGAGGACGAGTGGGTTCCCATTCAAGAATGCTGAGGCAGACAAGAGGAAGGCTAGGTAAATGCTTAGCACTAAACGGCCTATGAAAAGTCTCTGGAGCGGATGGTGGGCGCGAATGACGCGCTTGCAACGCTTGCGTAACCATGAACATGCAAGTGGCGCCTCGTCAGCATGGAGCTGGAAATGCACATGCAGAAACTAGCACCCCACACACATTGTAAAGTCGCGTTCGGAAAGAAGCGACATTGTATATTAGTTTGAAAGCATGGAATCGATTGGTATCTTTTGAATCTAACACATCACCCCGACCGTATGCACCCTGTGCCCATCCCATAATGTTACACTGGACTTGTCCAAAAACAAGAAAACTAATAGTAAGGAGAAAAATAAGAGACATTGGAGGACCTGTTCCTCTGTTTACATTTAGTCGCTAATAAGCCCGCAAAGTGCAGGCAGGGCATGCTCCACCAGGTCAATTATACCCAAGCACACTAAGCCGCTGGAACCGGTGGCTGGAGACCTTCTTGTTGCGCAACATCCGCTGGCTTGGGAGGTTGCTGCTGCTGCTGCTGCTCCTCCTTCTTGGCTTCAGGCCTATGAGTCTGAGCACCCTCCTGGCGCCACCAGGGAAGTTTTCCATCTTTGGGAGCGATAGGCAGAGCCCTTGAGGGAGCAACATCTTTCTCGACAGCCTGCCAGCCCTCCATATCTTCTGGTATGCCTTCTTCAGCCCGTCTCCGTCGTTCTGTCGCTGCTTGTGCCTCCATGAAGTTCTCGAGCAAAAGCTCCTTGGCCTGCCACTCCTCGCGGCGCACTCGCTCCAGCTCCTCGGCTTCAGCACGCAGCTGCTCACCCTCCTTTGTTGCCCACTGCAGTTGTCTACGCAGTAGCTGGAATAGTTCGTTTGCTGGCTTGCGTAGCTCTTCGGATGTGAATTCAATGTCTGGCGGGAACTGCACTAGTGTTGGACCAGATGGGCTAGCGAGGTCTTGTAGATAGACGACATTGTTGTGGGAATAATCGGTTTCGGATGTGGTTGCAGCAGCAGCCGCTGCTGTTGCGCTGTTAGGTGGATGCGATGGGGATCCGGGGGTCGAGGCCTTATCGTGTGGTAGCTTCTTGCCTTCGTTGTTGAGGACGAGCTTCAGGCGCTGCTTGTTGTTGGTCGGGTTAGACGAGTGATGCTTAGGCACGGGGTCAGAGGGTCGCAGGGCTTCGGTCTCGTGCACAGTGCGCATGTGTTTGGCCAACGCATCGGAGCGGGTGAAGGAGCGGTCGCATTCTGAGAGTGTATTTTAGCACGTGTCTCGAGATTCGGGGCAGAATATGGAGGGTTGTACCTGGAAGCGTGCAGTAGAATGGCTTCTCGCGCGTGTGGGAGCGCATGTGTGCCCGCAGTGCGTAGCCACTAGCATGGGGGATGCCCTTTCGAGTGCAATCGCTCCACTCGCAGCTGTACTTCTTTTGCCGAGTTCCAATGTGATCGTCATGAAGATGCTCGACCAGCTTGTCCATGTTGTGAAGATCACCGGCTGTGCATCCGTCCCACTTGCAGATGGTGACTTGCTCCTGGCCGTAGTCGTCGTCTTGCGACATGCCCGGGTGGTGATGGGGCGAGGCTGGCACCGAGCCATCAGTGTCTTCGGACAGTTCTTCGTCTAGATCTGGCGGCATCGTATTGATGGGAGCTGGCGGCGACGAGGGCGCGCGAACGTTCAGGCGTGGTCGCTTGTTGGGGCGCTGGTCATGGTCAGGCGTGGCTTCATAGCTGCGTGGACGGCTTCCTTTTACATCCTCGGGGAAATCATCGCTCCCATATTCTGATAGGTCTGAGGGTGATTCTGTCATGACGGCGAGGTCAACTTATTGGTGGTGACGGTCAAAGGCGACGGTGAAGGTGAAGGTGAGAGTGAATGTGGACTGCGCGTTGGCCCAAGGAAGCGTGTTGCGCCTCCCGGCGCGCTCGACGTCTAGCGCATGTGCAGGGGCCAGGCGTTGAGCGAACGGCGCACTTTTCTGCGCAACCAATCTTGCACACTTCCAACTCTCCGCCTCGCAACACCAACAACATGTCAGACAAGCTCTTGTCGCTTCGCAGAGAAACGCCTGTTTTCGCCATTCTCTCTTGGTAACGGGTGCTGGGCTACAGTCGCGCCTCATACTATATGTAAGTATACTTGACTCTCCTTCACCCTATCTTCCATGATGATTTATCCCAGAGTTCTGCAATTCCAAAGAGCTGCCTCACAGTAGCTCAAATGCGGATTAGCTCATACACTACACATATACCTGACTTCATTTTTACATGAATCAAAGCTTGTTATACATTATAGTTACAGTACTGACAAGTCGCTCTAACTAGGTAACCAATTATCTATGCGAACAGCAGTGCAGCCTGAGCCTCATTGTACCGTCCACCAATGACTGGGATCTTCTTTAGAATCTCGTCCAGTGCCTTCATATCCTCATCGTTGAGCTTCGCCGGCTTCAAGTTCTCCTCGATTCTCTGCGATGTCGTAGCACCCGGAATCGGGATGATAGTAGGCAGGCCTTTGGCTCCGCTGTGCGCGAGCACCCACCCAATGGCAATTTGAGCTGGGGTAGCACCCTTTGATTTGGCTAGATCTTCGACAGCGTGGAGGAGCTTGATGTTCTCATCGAACACCTCAGGCTGGAACCTAGGCATGTGGTGCAACATGGAGCCAGGCTCAATGTCGCTGTGCTTCTTGTACTTGCCCGTCTGAGAACTGATTAGCATCTAGCTTCTACAGCTGAGAGCGGTGTACTTACAAGGAATCCGCGTCCAAGAGGCGAGTATGCGATGATAGGAATGCCGAGCTCTGCGCATGTGGCCGCGACACCGTTTTCGAGAATGTCGGTAGACCACAACGAGAACTCAACCTCAACCGCAGAGATGGGGTGCACACTGTGCGCTTTTCGGATTGACTGCGCACCGACTTCTGACAGACTGATGCCGCCCAGCTTGCCCTCCTTGACATACTCGGCGATGTAACTGACGGTATCTTGGATTGGTGTGTTGGGATCCACCCTAGCACACTCAAACAAATCAAGACTCTTCTTGCCATCCAATACCCTCAGACACTCATCAATGCTGCGTCTAACATTCTCCCGACTGCCATCTGGCGTCAATTCGCCCTTCTTGAGACCGCCCTTGATGGACAAAACAACCTTTTCCGCGTCCTCGGGGTACTTTGTGAAATACTCATTGAGAAGGTGCAGAGAGTTACGTTCTGGTGTACCGTAAAGCTCTCCGCCATTCCAATTGTTTGCTCCAAGCGACAGCGCTGTGCGCATAGCTTCAAAGCTCTGCTCTTGCGATGGTGGATCTGGGCGCCATGTGAGACCTGAATTGTTAGTTTTCTCTTAGCTTTTGCAAAATAGATAAATCATAGCACACACCCATGAGCCCATAGCCAACTGGCCCTACCATCTTTCCCACAAGTTGAGGCATATCGAAGTTTGTAGATGATGTCGTGAGAGGGTCTTGAACAAAAATGAGGCGGGGTAAATAGATACTGGTCAATGATATCACCGTAATCGAACCGTTGCTCGCTAGTGTCTCTATGAGGGCCTGTCGATGTGCTTCTTCTATCCCAGACCGATACCCAGCCCTATTTATATTCTCATTGAAGCCTTTCTCGAACCCGAAGATACTTGCTTAAGGACCGCCACCAATGACGCTTATTGGGGAGTACATTGGCCCCGAACGGGGTTTTCAGAGTGCTTAACTCCGCGAAGCCAATCGCCGCGGAAAGTGGCGCAACAACATGGGCCAGTGGCATTAGGCGTATGTCCGGTTTGCTGCATGTGGATTATTGTATTGTGAGTAAAGAGCTAGAATGTGGGATATCGTGACGTTTGTGGCGGGAGTGTCGGATTACTAAACGGCATGTTGTTTATACAGGAGGATGTACTACCACAAGTAATTACTTTGAAAATCCGAATCAATGATATTCTGTGGATGCGGAATGAGGTAGGTTATGCGCACGGTAAGCATTCGTTAGCGCAATGGATTTACCCACGGAATTCCGTTCTATCTCCATTGTTCTACGTCAAGCTAGAAATGAAAACACCCAGCCCTCTCCGGATTTACCCTACTCCTTCGACTTCATCCTAACACCTATCTCTATACTGGCACAAAAGGCCACTTGCTTACATAACCTTCTTCCCTTCAACACCCTTCCTTTCAATCGCATCTATTTCCCTCAACACAGTCCTAACCGGCCAGACAAACCCCTCCTGCGCATGCCCTGTCTTCCCCTCTTCAATTGTGACCAGATACTCCGTAAGTGCCATACCCACATATGCCGCAATCGCTGTAAAAACATGCCACCAGCCATGCAATTCAAACAAAAAGCCCCATGGAAGTCCAATCCAATGCTTAAACTGCGTAACATACCCGCAAGCATGAAAATCAATGTTCCAAAGAAAATACCCAAACAGCCCAGTCGAGATACCAAATGTAGCCATGCTCCCCAGCTTCTTGCGTGCCTCTTCGTTAGTAATCTGCTTCTTGATGAGCGCGCGTGTATGCCTCGATACAAGGAAGATCATGGCTGCAAAAGCGATTTCGTGCATAATAATCTCGTCGGCCCACACGTGGTAAATGGAGATGGGGATCAGGCTGCCTAGGATATACAACGTGTACTTTTGGCGCTGGGCGCGTGTGGCGTCGAAACACAGCAATTGGTGTAGTACGGCACCCACAGCGAGGAACATGGACAAATCGTCGCCCATTTGCGAGTGGTACTTTAGGGTGGCGTGGAACCAGGCGGAGAGGACGCCCACGCCGATGAGTCCCCAGTAAGGGAAAGCGAGCGTCGAGATGAGGCCGCCTTCGGGTTTGGGAGATACACGGTGTAGACCGTGGATTCCGTAAATTACTATTTTTTCCAAAATGTGAGCTTTCCCTTTTTGCTATGGTGGACTGCAAGTGGTTAATGTGCACGGACCATAGCTGATGTTTGTGAGGGTGTTGACGAATTCGCCAATATATGGAGTGATGATGTAGTCCTTGTCATCATGAGTTATCATTCCCGGCTAATCATTACGGGGAAGACATGATATACCTCTTCACAAAAACTATGTTAAGTCAGCCAAGCCCGAGCTGCCATGCAGGTACCGTAACAAGACTCACTTGTGATTTGACGTGGTTGGACCCCAGGCTCCTACAGCGGGCTCCAACGGGTAGTCCCATCGTAATTGCATGTTGAAATTTTTCCTGGTTTGGGTGTAGGTGGCAGAAAGTGAGTCTTTGATGCTGTCTGGCTGTGAGGTTATGCAGTGGTTTTACAACGTGGAGCTCATGGCCGCAAGCTATGACCAGTCCAATAGCGGGATACCACGGAGCACATGGGAACAAGTCAGAAGGCGCAACGGCGCGTATCCTCGCTGCCTAGCTTGAGCAAAGAAAATGATTTTGAATTCAAAGTGTGATTAACATGTATCAATTGTTAGTTTTGGGCATCTCTGGTGCTATCTAGAAGTCTACTTCCTATGAAGCAAAACAAGGTATACAGTAACACTCAGCTCGGTCTAGCAAAAGAAACAGAGCGGCAATGCCGAATGCAAAAACATTGCACCTTTTGTCACACAGAAGGGCAAAAAAGGGGTCTTACCGCGACTCGAACGCGGGGCCTCTCGCAAGCAATGCTCGGGAAATCCCTAAGCGAGAATCATACCACTAGACTTTGGTCTTGTTAGAACTGAAGGAGATACTGAAGCGTGTTGTGAATGCTTACCCATAAGACCGTTGCTTTGATGGAAGAAATCAGAAAATCATCAATTATATCCCAAATAGAATTGGGTGCACGACGGAGCTTGTGAAGGGGAAGCACTTGAAAACCCCCTGTGGGACCTCGTACCCAAGCTAGAAAGTGGGGCTGGCATTTGATAGAGTTTAGTGAGCGGGGCTTGTTGGCTGAAGTCACGATTCTTTGGTAGGCTAGACGGTGGGGCAGACTGAATACTGACGAGTCATCCAGTCCTGTAAATCAAGGTTGTGCTATACTTGAGGTCTTAAGTTTAGATGAACCATCAAAGAAGTGGAAGAAGGTTAAACATTCATCATGAGAAGCAAAACACATATGTTGCTCCAATGGCAGACATTGAGCGGACGTGTTACTGATATGCAAAGTCTTGGACGTCATTTTGCTCTGCAAATATCCAATTCACCACCCGAATGAGTTGATATCTTGCACCTTCTGCCCCATGTGGATGGCAATCATGTGTCTCAAAAGAGAGTCGAGCAAATCGATGAAGTCTTATGCAACGGCCCCACTGTAATACTGGTAAACCAAGAGCACATCAGACATATAATCTCTAATTGCTGTATCTCTTCTTCGATTTCATATCACATGACCCATATTTAAGTGTGGTAGTGATACCCTTGCTCTCGATGCTGAAGATCTGAATGAAGTTCTTCAGTCTATAGAAGTGTCGATCTCGAATAAGTAGCATATCTTTTCTTAATATCTTGCAGTATCGGTCCACTTTTAGTCTTGGAGCAAAGGATTTTGTAGACGTCTGTTGATCATAGCATACATAGGAACAGGCTAAGATCAGCTTCGATAACCAGGAAATACAGCATGAATGTTTCTGTCAGTCCCAAAATCCACACATAACAGTGCTGAAGCTCAAAGCTCGGATTGCACGTATTCTTGAGAAAATGAGTAAGCTCACAAAATGGCCTAACACAACATAGTCTCATGCGTCACCCAACACGAAGGACAAGGAGCATTTACCTCGTTTGGCAAAGTCAACGTGCACGAACAATTGCTCTACGATATGCCGCGGTAATAATGTCCCCAGATGCCAAGAAACCACGCCCTGACACACTCGATGCATGCCGAGTTTGCTATGGCCTGCTATGACGATATTGCGCAGGCGGGCCTGAGCTTTGGAAGACCAGATGTGGATGCAACATTGCTCTTGAAACATCTCACCAGCCCCAATACACCGCTGTCTTGTAGAAATTTTCTCATTATTAACCGGTGCGCTTTTTGTTGCCCACAAAAACGCAAATGCGATTCAGCGAGGGCGAATATCAGGCGGTAGGGGCGGAGATTGCCAAGCAAATGGATGATCACGATTCCACTCTTGGGGTTGTGTGCATCGGACTCCCAGCAGCCTCTGTAACGCACATCCCCACCCGATTACTCGACAAATGACGGATATAATAACGCATACGGCAAGACACCCACGATTCACAGTCACATGTTGCGTTACCCCGAGGAAGGCAACATGAGGTTGCAACGTGCGATCGAATCATGTCGATTCCAAGAAAAAAGACAGGCAGCCGAAATAAAGACGGCGCCACTTACGCACCCACATGCACGACGCGGTTGAGGCGATCTCCGCAAAATGCAAGGCGCCATCCCCGTTCTCCACCTCCAGCCAACCCCGAGTCCCCAAGGCAGTTTTCCCGCCAATCAACGCCAATCGGAGGGGGGCTTGCCTTGTTTCTTCGATTACTCTCCGATGCGCAACACAACGGCCACGCTTGGTCGGCACGTTCCCGCTATGCTTACGTAGGAACTATGGCATTTTAACCAATTTAACCAGCTCACAAGTGTTTCCAACTGGTTGGATCGGTGGAGCCTGGCGTTGTGGCAGGAATGCATTGCATGGCTTTAGCGACAATGGCCAGCATACCGGCTTTGGGTACCGACTACGTCGGTTCTCTTTATAATTGAGCTCTCCTCCCCGTACCAACGTGGAGTGGTAAGGCCAAACGACTACGTTGATTGAAGCTCTCCGGAGCTTTCACCCAGCTGCCAAGATGTTTTCAAAAGTCCCAAAGATTTACAATGTCTACTTTCTGGCAATCATTGCCACGATGGGTGGTATGCTGTTTGGTTTCGATATCTCTTCGATGAGTGCGATCATTCCAACCGATCAATACATGTACGTCAATTCCTAAAAGACGAATCTTCAGCATGGCCTGACATCCAACAGTGATTACTTCGACAACCCATCTGGAGTCGTTCAGGGCGCCATTGGTGCTGCCCTTGCTGCAGGCTCTATTGTCGGCTCTATCATGGCAGGCCCAGTTTCTGATAAATTTGGTCGTCGCGATGCTCTTTTGTTTGCTTGTCTCTGGTGGCTCGCTGGCACTGCCTTGCAAGTCGCTGTAACAGGACGAGGAATGTTGATAGCTGGTCGAGTCCTGAACGGAGTAACGGTCGGCATCACTTCCTCGCAGGTACCAGTGTATCTTGCCGAAATCTCCAAGCACTCACAGCGCGGTGCAATCATCATTATCCAGCAACTCGCCATTGAGTGGGGAATTCTCATCATGTCAGTAACAAGTGAAAATATAGGAAGATTGCCAGGCTGACCTTCTTTTGCAGGTACTTCATCGGATATGGTTGCACATTCATTCCCGGAGAAACAGCATCGTTCCGCACCGCTTGGGGCATCCAGTTTGTACCCTGCGTAATGTTCATGATTGGTCTGCCTTTTCTACCAGAATCTCCTCGATGGCTTGCCAAAGTCGATCGCACAGAGGAAGCAATCCAGGTCCTGGCATCTATCCAAGCTAATGGCAATATCGAAGACCCATATGTTGTCGCCGAGTACGAGGAGATTATGACTGTTCTTATTGCCGAGCGTCAAGCCCCACCGGGATGGAAGAAATTTGTATACAACGGCATGTGGAAGAGAACTCTTGCTGGATTTTCCGTCCAAGCTTGGCAGCAGTTGTCTGGGGCAAACGTGCGTTCACTCCCCCAAACCAACTACTCACTTCAGACACTAACTAGAGCAATAGGTCATGACCTACTACGTCGTTTATATCTTCGCAATGGCTGGGCTTGAAGGCAACATAAAGCTTATTTCGTCAGGTGTGCAGTATGCGCTCTTCATCATCTTCTCTTCGATCATGTTCTTCTTCGTCGATAAGTTTGGCCGCCGCACACTTCTTGTCTGGGGCGCCATCACCATGGGCATCTGCCATTTCGTCGTCGGCGGCGTTCTCGGCGCAAACTACGAATACATTCCTGAGGGCGTTGGAGGCGACCGTAATGTTGTGATGAAAGTCACTGGCTCGCCCGCCAACACCGTCATTGCGTTTTCGTATCTTCTCATCATTATCTACGCTCTTACTCTCGCGCCCATCTGCTGGGTGTACGCCGCGGAAGTGTGGTCGCTTGAGACTCGTGCGTGGGGTATGGGTATTGCTGCGACTGGTATGTCAAGATTTCAACAATTTCAAAAAACAAAATGATACAAAAACGCTAACGGCTTTCCCCAGGTAACTGGCTCTTCAACTTCGCAATCGGCCTCTTCATTCCCCCCGCATTCCTAAACATAAAATGGGGTCTCTTCATCGTCTTTGGTGTACTTTGTCTTCTCGCAGCCATCCAGTTCTTCTTTACATATCCAGAGGTAAATATCTTTCCACCACTGCTAGGCAACCTCAGCTAATCTTTCTTCAAACAGACCTGCGGCAAAACCCTTGAGGAGATCGAAGTCCTCTTCAGTAAGGACGGCCCGCACGCATGGCGAACCAAAAAGGGAAGCGAACATATCGGCCAGAATACAGAGAATGTGGCGGCGGCCCAGGCCAAGCAGGAGGCCCAGGCGAGAATCGAGATGCTGGCGAAGAAAGAGAAGGGAGAGACGGCAAGGACCGAGACGGTTTGAGTGGGTATCTATGTAGGATTTATGTATTAGGGGAAAAGGAATATGAAGAAGAAGAGTGTAATAATTGCAAACAATGATATCCCCCGAATCTAAAACTACGTTCTTGCCTTTTACAAACCTAACATACCTCTACCGCCCCACAGGACAATAGGCAAGAGACGCAAGTGAAGTATAGCGAAGAAAAAAAAGGTTTCCAAAAAACCAAAAAAAGAGTAAAACTAGTAATTGCATATAGTTTCTACCCCCCTCAATTATAAAAGTCTACCCAAAAATCCCCCTAACATCAAGAAGTGAAGAAGAAGAAAAAAAAGGGTTGGAAAAAGGGACGAAAAAACCCCCCCAAGTTGCTAGTTCTTCATCATCTAACTAGCTCAAATCCATCGCCTTGATACCCTGCTCAAGCGCAACCTCATCTGCAAGCGGTGCGTCTTCAGCCGCAGATTCCCCATTCGATAGCACAACGCCTTCTTCCTCTGGATGCTCCACAGTGCCGGGACCCTCGGCGACATGTTTGTCTATTAAACCTCCGTTTAGATGAAGGTGTTGTGGAATAGTGGGCTCGGCCCTTTTGACATGCTCTGCAGGCCCACCATAACCATCACCCATTGCGACTGCGGCAGGCACTCCATTGCTCACAGCTGCATGCTTGCCAGACCCCGACTTCACCTGTTTTTCCAGCCCAATCCCGAGCTCCCTCACAGCGCGTTTCATGCTGTCCAGCCTGGCACGTTCAGCAACACACATTTTCCTCGCAAGCTCCTTGAGTGCCCTCCGTCCCGTCTCGACCCTGTTTTCCTGCCAACTAGCCAGTTCCTGAGCCACGACTTGCTGTGTGTACCGGAGTTCTCTACCGAAATCCTCAAGCTCGATTTTGCTCTTATCCATTTTGACTTGAGCGTCGCGCTGGACTCTGCTACGCGCGTCGTCGAGGAGACCCAGGGGCCAGCGGTCGGAGCGTCGCACAGAGAGGTTGTGTCTATCAATCGCTTTTTGGGCGTTGGACATGGAGTTTATGATTGTGGAGGGGCGGGAGAGTGCAGTGAGGATGGCGGCGATGGTGCTGGATATGGCGTGCATAGAGTAGTAGAAGCCTGCCATGGGACTTGCTTCGCTCTGTCGAAGGGTGCCTGTGTAGCGCTCCAAGGCCTTGAGATGCGCGGGCGGCAAAAATATGAGAGAGTGCATGGCAGTACTGAAGATCTTGGACGCGTCGTTGAGGTCAGATGCTGCTGAGCGGACCTTGTTGGCGCGACGGAGAACCGATCGTGATGCATGGTGGAGGGCGCGGATATTTTCACGCATGTGCTGAACAAAAAGCTCGACTTCTCGCACGTCAAGAATAGGAGTGTAATCTTCGCGAAGACGTTCAACACGCAATTCAGCCTTGCGTGCTGAGCGTTCTGCCAGCATGGACGAGTCAATGTCTGGCACGAGGAAAAATTCCCACACCATCTCGTGTGTTGAAAAAGTAGGGTGTTTTAGAAGAATCTTGAGGAAGGCGTCTAATCGGAGTTGCATATCGCGTAGTATTGACCTTGACGGTCTTGAAGGGATGAGGTATGGCGACGCCAGGGTGTCTATGACTGGCAGCCACGATGCTGGATGTTCTTGCGCTAGCCACTTTGCGAGATTCTCAAAGTCGTGCGATGAACGACGACATGTCGTAACAGTGATGGACTTGTTGTCGTTAGGTGCTCCGGATTTCAACACCAAACGTACAGTCCCGTCTTCAACAAAGAAGGACCGAACGACAGTAGTGGTTCGTCCGTCAGGTCCAGCCTCATTTGATAACAGCACCAGGTCGTCAATTCGATTTCGAACGTCGTCATCTTTAGCAAGCTCCACAGCCGTAAGACCACGTGCGTCTCTGAACGACAGGTCAACCCTAGGGTCTTGAAACAGAACTCGCACCATATCTGTTCTGCCATACTTGCTGGCTACCATGAGTGGCGTAAACTGTCTGTCGTTTGTTGCGTTTGCATCCGAGTCGCAGCGATATAGCAACTTGGCAGCTAGTTGAGGATCGGTGATAATATGCAAAAGGCTGTTTCCCTTGTTGTCAACATGCTCGTCGAGATGCAGTGGTTGTCCGTCGTTTTGGTAGTAAGTCGCAGCTAGAAGAGCCTTGTCAACCATATCATGGTATTCGTCATGGTCGTATGATCTACACAGAGCAAAAACAGGAGTCTGGCCGTTCTTGTCCTTTAGCCGCCAAGGCAGTAGGTGTCCGATACGATCAATCAGACGAGGTTGGTTGAAGAGGTAATGCGCTACACATCTGCCTTTCGCGTCTGGCTTCGCTAGATAATCTCGTAGCGCTTCAGGACTCGGGCTATTCTCCAAAAGGTAATTGAGAATCGTGTCTGTCGTCTTCGCATGACCTTGTTGGATCGCTGCACTCAGCAGGTTGACACCTTCATTGTTGTAGTCTTCGAAGACGTGAAGAGGTGTATAATACTCAGTCAAACTAAGGAGATATTGCAGTGCCCTATCTTGCCCGTTCTCAATAGCCATCATCAAGACCGACTCGCCGTCTGGGCCTTGTGTCATGGTCAGCTTTTCTATCGAAACATCGCCCTCGATAGCGCTGACACGCGAATCGAGCGTGGTACGAGAATGATAAGACCGTGCCGAGCCACTCGACATGCTCCTTGTATCCATTGATACCTTCTTCTTCATCTTAGGCCTCCTGGATAGCGGGGGCGTCTGAGCCCGCTGGAAGGGGAAAATATGCGCCAATGGACCGTCTTCGTACATGCTCTCATCACGAGTTGGACTTTGATGCCGTATCCGTGGTTCGTCGTCGCCATTCATTGTAGTTCCCCCCAGTGAATGAAGATCTGAGAGGCTTGCTGCAAATCTAACTGGACGATGCCTTGGCGGAGTATCGCTCTGATCTGTGAAACTGTCTGATTCTGGATGAAAAGATTTGTCGGGCTCTAATATGCCTTGGATTGTCTCTATATCGCCCGTCTTGGTTGCCTGCCATAGTGCTCGGTTCCGTCTGCTCGCTCTCCGCAAGCCTCCGGAATCTGTTGTCAAGTATGATAACACTGCTTCGAAAGTACTGAGCGCGTAGCCCATTTCGCCACTTTCAACATCATCAATGAAGATAAAGTGCCGCATGTAGGATAACCGTGCCTGAAGGTGCCGAACGGGGGCCCGAATGACCACAATGAGCAACAGTGACACTAGTGTATCTGCGTTGATCGTAAGCAGATGATCCTGCTTCTCTGATAGCGGTGCTCCGTTTGTCATAATCTTCTCTTGGGATTCGTCTGGCATGGTGATGTGCTTTTGCACCGCGAGCAAGATTTCCAGCATTTCCTGTGGGCTTCCGGCAACGCCCATTTTCTTGAACATATCCACAGCCTTGGAGAGCCGTATGGCAAGTTCTCGTTTCCCATTGCGACCGTGTCCAATGTCGATGCCGACCTGCGATATATCGATATCCATCATTTGCCGGGTTCGTCGCTCGAGATCAGCGTCTTCAAGTTGGCGTATTGTTTGTATTCGTGGAAACAGAATCGTATGGTGTACTTGCTCGGCAACGTAGCGCTCGATCATGCGCTCGACGATTGGTCCGGTGAGATCCGTTGTCGCCCCCAGCAGTGACAGCTGTTGCTTGTCCACCATCTGGAAAAGGTCAATGGCTGCCGTGACGGCCGTCTCTAACGATCTGCGCATCTGATCCTCTTCGTCGCTGATTTCGAGATTCGAGACGAAGCCGTTAGGGACATAGGACATGTTGCTGTGCAGAGAGATTGGTGCCGTGTCTGCCGAGGATACCGACCCCCGTCTCCTTGAGGTTTTTGAGCTCATTGAAGATGGCCGCGACCTTTGCGATGGTATTGCTGGCAGCGGTTTCTGCAATTCGTTGCTAAACTCTTTGAATATTCTCTCCAGGCCCGGCTGCATCTGGCGCGCAATCATAGGGAAGTGGTTCAAGAGATCGCCAAACGACCTGACCTCCTTCTTCCGTGGCATGGACGAGCTGGCGCTTGCCGACGAACTGGCCACAACCGGCGGCTCGGCTCTTGCATTGTACTTGGGACCCAGTGTAGCCGGTATGATGGGATTCGGGTCGTATGTGCCGATGAGGGGGCGGGATATGAAGTAGACGAGCCAGGGCTGAGCGTCGAAGGAGTCGGGGTAAAAGATGGTGTCGTTAAGGAGCTGGGCTTGGTTGAGTGTCTTGAAGCCTGTATTGTCATCAGCGCGCGACGATGTATGACGTACCGTACGCATGCTCACGAACCCTTGTTGCTGTATATGAAGGCATCTTTGACAATTACTGTTCGGCCATTTGCGGTGGTGAACTGCTTTGCCTTGCCCCGCGATTCCCTGAAGCTACCCGTGTCCCTGAGGTGGCCGTTGGGCCCCGCGCCGCCTGGGATGCGCAGAACATGGCTGGCGAGGAAGTCTTCGGAACCGCTGAGGTCGGCATACGACGTGTTCGATTCCTTGTCGCGCGAGGTCAGGAGGGCCTCAGTCGTCGGGACCAGAAGGACCTGGGAGCTGGAATGTTAGCGACTGGAGATATATGGGATATGTTACACTGGGGCGCGTACGTGGTGCTGCGCTGGCTGGCACTGGCTGGGTAGTGCGCTACGGAAGAAGGCCCGTAGGAAGGGATTCAGCACGGGAGGCATTCAATCGACATTAACGGGGCTCTGGGGGAGAATCGGCGTGCGTGTGGCATGTGTCCCGGGAGTTTTTTATATAGCGCGCGGTCTGGTCGAGGGTGTGGCGTCGTATAGTGGCTTGGGCGTAGAGTTGTGAATAGGAGCCTGGAGCAGTGATAGGCGGAGCAAAGACCTTGGACGGTTAAACCGGCGATGACTTGACGGTGGTTGTGGCGGTGCGCAGGGAGGAGGCGAGAGGCGAGACGTGAGATGGAGAGGTAGCAGAGACGTGGAGCAAGGGCAAGGGAGTTCCAGGCCAGCAAGGCGTCACAAGCAATTGGGAGTCGGAACTGGCACCACCAGGGCCATTGGCTTGTGAAGGTGAAGACGCTGCTAGCCCAGTATCGATTAGCGAGGAACGCGACTCTTTCGTCATCGCTCCCGTCCTCGTCGCACTCCCTCACCACCCCCACGTTGCATCACATTACATCAACATACGCCGTCGATCCCATGCCTGCAGCTGCGTGGCTTTGGTGCGACCATGCAATACCCCAAAGAAGCCTGGTCTAGACGCCATATATGGACTCATGTGTTCATGTAAATCAGCCTTGTCTATCTACAGCCCTTACTTGCCAGCCTTCTTGCACAGCTTCGTCCCATAATCCAGCACACTCCACTTCTCTGTGCCAGGCGTAGTCTCAGTAAAGAAGACGCCCTCGGGGTCCCATTTCTGGCGAATTTTCAACAGTCTTGGGTAGTTGGCTCCCCAGTATGCCTCTTGCCAGTTGGGCTCATTGAGATCGCCCTCGTTGACATAGCTGGCTCCGTTAGGTGAAACATCTCTCAGTTTCTGGCCCACCACATGCGTGTTGAAGTGCTCGCGCTCCATCTTGACATCCCATGATTCTGTACCCTGCATAATCACATTGGTAATGACGAAGCTGCTCGCATTGCGCCAGGCTGGGTGGATGGCGTTGTCTACCTTGGGATTCGCGCGTCCAGGGTTAACAATGTGACCGACATCGAAGCCCAGCTGGGTGGGTTCTGGCATTGCTGCGTAGATGAGCGCGTCGACAATCTCATCGCCATGGTTGGCAATATCGCTTTGTGTGAAGAGACGGCCTCCGACAATAGACTGCTGGTTCGGCGGCTCATCCTCGAACATGTCTATGTACATTTCGAAGAAAGTTGGGAATTCCCTGGTATATGCGTCATAAGGCACCTTGGCTGCATCCAGTTGCTTGTATAGTGGTGATAGGACCTTGGCCAGCTTTGCTTCGTCCATGTTGGGGCCGACAAAAGGGGCAATGTGTAGACGGCCAGGACCAGCTACATGTCCAACAGTCAGTATGCAGAACCGAAATCTTTGCCGAAATACAAACTTACGTCCAATCTCAAAGTACACAAACATCTGATTATCACTGTAGTGATTGGCCAAATTGTGGAAAATCCGAACACCCTTGGCAAACAGCTCAGTGTCGTTGGTGTGCGTAGAGTTGATGTTGAGAATCGTGGCAGCCGTCGGTATCTCTGGAAAGGTCTTGACAGTGATGCTCACCACCACAGCAAAAGTACTAGGACCGCCGCCCTTGAGAGCCCAGAATAGGTCGGAGTTCTCCTTGGCATTGGCAGTCACATACGTGCCAGCAGCAGTAATAGCGTCGAACGAGAGCACATTGTCAGCGCCCATACCATACAGTCCCGTCAGAGGACCATGTCCACCTCCCTGGATGTATCCACCAGCCCAGCCTACAGTCTTCGCAGCGTCAGCACAAAATTTCAATAAACCGATAAAAGAAAACCAAGAAAATAACATACCGGACACTCTCCCCCAACGATAACCACCTTGGGATGCTGCGCAAAGCACTTCCGATACAACTCCCTCCCTTGCACCCCCGCCCCCACAACCGCCGCACCGCCACTCCAATCCCCGGGTCCAGTATACTTCTTGATAAACGCCACATCCTTGAATCCATGCGTATTGATAATCAGGGCTCCGTACCCCGTCGATCGTCCCCTATCCTCATCATCAGCAAACCCAAAAAAAACCCCCACCATACTTCTGAAAAGAAAAAAAACATCCATACACAGAATGTGAGGGGAGGGTGAATACTTACATGAAATCATGCCCCGTATTCCTTATAATCAATCTCAAATTCTTCTTTCGCGCAAAATCAACACCGGCTTTGATGTGCTCTTTTGTGGTGGCGAGGATAACGTAGCGGCCGTAGAAGCCGCGGGTGCAAGTTCCTGTTGCTGCGTTGTCGGGAAGGCAGGTGTTGTTTGTCTTCAAGGGCCAGAGGGCGGCGATGGGGTGGTCGGTTCTATGGAGATTTCTGTCAGTACGAATGTTCTTTCTCTTTTTTGAAAGGAAGGGGAAGGAGGGGGAAGGAAGATAGATGCTTACAGCCACTGTTCATCACCCCATTTCTCCTTTGTCTCGGCGCATTTGGCGGCGTCGTAGGCGCTGGTTTCGTTGCCGAAGGATTGGTAGCATGGTGCGCCTGGGGGGATGGCGATTTGCAAGGCGCCGGACACGGTCTTGTTGAGAGCGGTCCAGTCGGTGGTTGTGGGCCAGCAGGAGTTGTCTGAGTAGCATTTGCCTGTAGCGTACAATCAGTTCTTTTATTCTAATTCTTCTATCTGTTTAGGAAGGTAAAGAAGGGAAACTTACATTGGTACTCTACGCCCCCAACTTTCTTCACTTCACCAATCCATTTTGCAGCTTGCGCGCTGGTGCTTGCTATTAGCAATGCTGCGAGTAGGGAGAAGCGAGGCATCTTGACTACGCAGAGCGACTTGAGCGACCTTTTTTCGAGGATTCAGACATTTATCTGTATTTCCCGCGGAATGCTCAGACTATGCTTGGTCTAAGGCCCTAGTGCATTCTACCGCGTTTAGTACAGGTTAATGGATTCTGCAGGCGTGCTGGGCGCCTTAACTGCATGTCTTCATTGCCTTCAAATGTCATGTTGAGATTCTCAACCCGATCTTTTCACCATGTGCCGCTGAGCATGTACGAGCGAGCGAGTAAAAAGCTCTGTAGAGATTTCGTTTGTATCTGGGGATCTTCTCGGTGGGGATCAGAACAAGACTCCAACTACCGAGCCCGTTAGGATAGAGACATGGCGAAGGCGAGGTTTGGCTTGGCGGCGTACTCCTTTTCACCCGGTTAATATCAGGGTCCAATCACTTCACATGCAAGACACGGGGGCGAAGCTTCGCTTCGCGCCACAACTGCGACGGTTCAGGAAGGCGTATCTTGTTCTAGTGGCCCGGATCAAGTGTGTGTGGTTTCCCCTGTGTGGCGAAGTGATCATGGTGTGGGGTTTGTGGTGTAGTGTTGGATCTAGATGTTCGATTAGTTCAGGGTGGGTCTGAGATACATGTTGTAGAGCAGTATACCGGGATGTCTAGTAGTCTTTGGGAAAAATTTATTACTCAGGCCAACCACTTATAGCATAACTATATTAGAAGCTTTTATAGTAAATAAGCACGCAGCTGCATATGCACCTCTGTACTGGGAGTCACCTTTATCCAAATCTTCAATAGGAATTGCAAGGAATTAACCATCACCCATCTTGATGCCTTTAGCGATGCCACAAGTTTCAATTTAAGTGAACCCCCAAATGTAGCCATCAGCCATCATCCAGATTCAAATCGAGAAACTGTTTTGCGCCACAACCATGTATCGACATGTAGCCGCAACGGCACACCAGAAAACTAACAGAAATAGGGGCCATAACATTCCACTACTCGTACATACTCCTTCGTCAATCTTGTTAAAACTACTAGTATCGCGCCAAACCATGGAAATGGCACACCAAGTGGCGCGTCGATCCTCCATACTAGCCGTCCGGGAAGCCGGCGCTCCGAAGCACTGCCACCAAGTTCCTACGTACGCTATACACATACGGCCTACATGTCCGCTTCTCTTTATATTTCTTCCGCAATTCGCCCGTCTATTTCGTGCCTAGTACACAATATCTCTTGCCATGCGATCCAGCGTGCCAACGCTGGTATCGCAAGCCAGCAAATCCAGGTCCGGGAACTCATTTTGGATCCGACGTCGCGAGAACGGAATAGCAGTGATATTCGGAGCTCCCCTTCGGACTCGTGTGACTTGCTTTACATAGTACTGTTGTGGTACGCGTTCAACGTTTACGTTGTTAGCAAGACTTCCCTCTGTTTCCAACTCGTCCTCGAGAAGGGAATATACATCGTTGTCGAGCGTTTCGGTAAAACGACCCCAGATGAGGACTTCGAGGTCAGGACACAAATCATGCGCCCATTGAAAGAGCACTGCAGCGAGCTGCTGGGTCTCGGCTGCTACGTTTCTCGGTTGGTCGGGATCGATGATTCGAATACGATCCTGGTAGAGATGCAGCATTTTCAAGTTTTTGAGCTTGCCAATTGGTTTCTAGCACTAATAATTAATATTTGCATAGTAAAATCACACATGGCTAAGACTTACGAGCTGTCCAAGGACATATTTCTGTCTGTCGTGCCCATTGGCCAGGAGACACCCCCCTATTTCCGCGACACGCAACCCAAATTGCTCCAAAGCACCAAGCTCATCGCAAATCGCATCCAGCGATGCCATGGAAGGAAAATAGGAAGCCCTCTTTTCCACTGACCATAAGTCGAAGAGCGAGAGAGACTTTAGCCTGGGACATAGCGACGAGATATACGAAGCAAGAGTCGACCCATCATCTGCAAGCAGTGGCTCCAACGACACTGTTTTCAATAGCCGCATATGAAGATTCAAATGCCGGAGATTTTGATTCCGCGTAAACAAATCTTGAAAATCCATACTCTTTTCATGGTCAAAACTGTCTGGAGAGTGAAAGTCGAAATGTGTCAGGTTTCGTAGCTCTGGGGAGCTGAAAAGCGGCTTCCAGTACCAGAAATTGTCCGTGTAGAGAGAAAGTCTAGTTAAGTGGGAGAGATTGAACATGTGAGGTATGGCAGAAACAAACCCTCCGGGTAAATAGCCATCGAACATCAATTCGCGGGAGACAATCTGCTTGTTCGGGAACAAGGTGCTGTAGGAGCACCTGCTCCAGTAGTCCTCGAGCAAAAAAACGTTAACGTTCTTCAGCAAGAGGGCGAACTTTTCCAGTCGAAGTAATTTCTGAGCAAGTTCTACAAGACCAAATGTTTGTTGCGCATCTCCAGAGACTCCGGCTGTTACACGCCTGGTCATGGGAGTTACAAGCTGCTGGAAGTTACCATGCGATAGCTCGAAATCGACAATCGACTGTTGCTGCTTTTGTAAAAGGTTGATGATAGATGGGTCTAGATCGATTTGAGAAAGATAACTGGGGATATCGAATTAGCCAAAAGAATCCTCCGTGTAGGCACTCAACGCTGGCAGCGCGTGATTGAAACCGTGCCGGTGAAAATGGGGAAGCTAACCGGAACGTGGTCAATTTGTTCGAAGGAAACGATTGCAAAATCTGCAATAACAATGTGTCTCTCTCGCCATGGATCCACGGCGCTTTGTTGCGCAAAATCCTGTTGCATTCAAATATTGGAACATCAAGTAGACTTAGTTTTTGCGCGTACTGCAAGTGCCTGGATGCGCCAACTTCCAGGCATTGACGGAACAGTGAGAGCTGACCATTGCGGGTGCGAATGTCTAGCACAATGTTCCGGTACAAAGCCTTTGTCGCAACAAGATTCCATGACCCTGATGTTAAGCAGAGTGCTAAAAGATCTGGGTAGAGGTTGAGCTAAACTGCCGGCGTCAGTGATGTTCTGTTGCACATCAGGGGCTAGTAGGTGCTTTTGCTGGTGCGGGGTAGGCATACATAATCCAACACCATCAACTGAACATCTGTAGGAAGATATGAAACAGCTTCAAGCTGATCCATCTCACCCATAATCTAAGCCCGGTGGTAGAAGTTGCTCTGATCTGCGAAGGACAGTGCAACGGTTGAAGTCGACGAGCAATGGGGCAGTTTTGGCTAGTGGGTCTCATTCGCCAACCTCGCAGTGTCTTGCACAATACATAAGTAATTCGTGACCTGTAGGATTCAGCTGCGGCTGATATATTTACGTCATAGTGGAATAGTGTCATGGAATGAGCAAATCAAATGTCAATACTTTCAACTGAGCATCCGAGCACCTCACCTCCTTATCCAAAGGAAATAGTGGTAGTGACCTGTGCCTACTTCTCCAAACCAGTCGGCATAGCAATCGCAATCGCAATCTATGATAGAATACTAAGACTATACAAAAATCAAGTGGCTGTTGTAATAGAGCAAGTTCAGCCGAGTAGTAGCCACTATTCACATGACATAGCGACGTGTATTTCTACAAGAATAAGTACATGTGAACACGGCGTGTAATTTTCCACAAGACAACCAATGAGAGTGAAAACAGAGAGTGTCTAACATCACCCGCAAATATATTACGATGGAAATTAGGACATTGGCTAATCATAGTTCATATTCTGAGAGTGGTATAAGATATGCGATACCAAGATTCATGATGCTCGCATTGTCGTGAGATGGTATTCAAGCAAACGCGTCTTACTGCGCGTTTGGCCTATACGCCGGCATCCCATTCTTCTTTCCCCAGCCCCTGACCGTCTTGTTCAAATCTGGTGCTATAAACAACCAGGCAACCGCTGCTACAATCGCTCCTATCACATCGATGACCCAGTTGTTCTTCTGACTACCAGACAAGCTACCCCAGCGCATCAGGTGTACCAGATAATTTGTCGGTGTCATGAAGTTTCCGCTTTCTAGACCTTTGACGCAGCTGGTTGCTGCCTGTAGCTCGGTTTGCTTGGGATCGGCAGCCTCCAGCTCAAAGCTGACGGCATGCTTCGTCTTGTTCTCGTTCTCAAACCCTGGGGATAGTATGCTACCTGGAAACACAATATGAATGTCTACGTCGAACGGCGCGGGTGTGGTGCCTGTGTTGACATTGGAATGGCGCGCTGAGTTGTAGATTTGGACCTCTGAACGAAGTCCATCAGCGAGGTTGCGGAGGGCAGCCTTTGCTGGGGAGTAGGGCGAGTAGCCTGCAATATTTATGAAGGCGAGTGAGGACGATGTCATGATGAACTTCCGTGGTGCTTCCGGGGTAACGTTTTTCCCTTGTGGGCTATACGGCACCTCGGGATACAGCCAAGCTTGTAGCGCCTTTTGTGCCATATATGCTGTCGCGAAGTAGTTCAGCTCCATCTGTTTTCTCAGTGTGTCTGTGCTCGTCTCGATGAACAGTCCGGGGGTTGAGGATCCAGCAATGCACCAGACAACCTCGGGCATGCGGCCATTATTCCAAACTGTTGCTTCCTTGAGGATACGTGCGTTCTCAGACTCGGAAGTTACGTCGGCCGCAATGTACGTAAATCGCTGGGTGGAAGGGTTCTTTGCGCACGCCTTTGCGCGTTGGACAGCGGCTTCGAGGTTTTTTGCCGTGCGTGCGACCAGTATAAGATTGGCTCCCCGGGCAGCAAGGAGACAGGCAGCCTCACTGCCCATGCCCTGCGATGAGCCGGTAAGGAGGACCGTCTACGAAATATAAGCATTACACGTGTGAAACAATATTCCAATAGACTTACCTTGCCATCTACGGGGAAATGATTGCTCATGGAGAAGCTGAAGCCCATGATGCCAAAGCTCACCAGCCCGATGATGAGCACGAGGGCAGCTCCAACAAGGGATTGAAACATGAGGGGCCTGCGGCGGGGTCCCTCGGAGGATTTAACTAACACGAAACAAGTGGCGCTTGACGATGCTTACGGTGTAGTAATCATTGAGCCTGACATGCTTCTGTGTTGTGTGATTATCGCACCATGCACCTTGGTGGTGAGAAAGGGACCCTAGCAACTTGTGAGTGGTTAGATTGCTTTGGTGGGGCAGCGTGGGGCGTTGCGCCAGCACCCATGGTACATAGTGCACTATGGCGGTGTAGGAAGGCGTTGCAGAAAGTGTTAAGAAGCACTTCATCTCTAATTGTGAAAAGACAATTGCAGTTGCTATATGTGAAAACCGGATGGTTTTGGGGGAAATTATAGATGATGTGGAGTGTTGTATTTGGGAAGACTTCTACTTGCTGCTTCTGATCATTATTCAAATTTCTTCTACCTTTGGACCATGCTATTCATGATGGAAACGATCAGCTACTCTAGTAACGCGGCTTACATTCAATACCGGAGGTCTTCACAATGCACACAATGAGAGTCTCTTGGATTCAAACACTTGATTTTGGTAGATGGTAATCCTTGCAATTGTGGGAATACTATTGTGAACCATGCAACCGAGATGAAACAGTCAGAATATAAATACCCATGCTTGGGCGACACATTAGAGCTGTGGGGGAATTGGGTGAGGTTCGGTTTGTATACGAAGATCTGAGTGCGCTTGATGGCCAATGCAGCGACAATGGGATCTTGAAGACTCAGTAGGAGGGGTTTCTGCTGCTCCAACCTTTCTCAGAAGACGTGTTAGTAGGGAAGCCAAGGGGTAGCATGTAGTATGTGAACGCATTCATCATGTGCTTGTGCTTGGTAATGCATCTAAAGTAGGTGTGCGCTTCCCACTTTTGAAACAGGTCGCCTGTAAGTACACTGTAATGTACACAGTGCCTTTTGACAGTCCAGATGTGACTGACATTTCTCCACTATTGATCTTTGCAAACGGTGTTGACGAATGGAGAGTGGGCCACGAAATGGGATCCTTGCAGATGCGCTTGACCGAATCGTGGCTGGCTGCTCGGCACCGAAGTGGGTCGCTCTCGATTGCCCGCGGAAATGCCAAGACTTTGCTCGGAAAAAAAGTTGGGCGCGCGACAAAGACGACTGCGACAACGACTGACGAGTATCGCCACAACACAGCGAAACGGCGCAATTATGGCTAAGAAGAGAAAGGCGGGCGGTGGCGCATTGGGCGCATCCAAGGCGCCAAAAGAAGAGGATTCCCGAATGAGGATCAACACCTTTGAAGATGTCGCTGATTCCGAGGACGAGTTTCACATGAACCGCGACAAGGTGCTGCTTGACGAGGGACCTGCCGCCAAGAAGATGCGGAGATATCAGGAAGAAGGTTTGTTTGGAGATAATGGGAATTTCTACGAATACTGGCTGACATTATGTCCAGATAAATTTCTTCAGCCCTCAGATGAAGAGATTCTCGACGCTGGAAGCGACGACGATGACGAAGACGATTTCGACGACGACATTAGCGATGGCTCAGACGACGAAACGTCAGGAAAGCGCAAGCCAGCAGACGAAGAAGACGAAGATGAAGAACTCGGAGCATGGGGCGCCTCGAAAAAGGACTACTACGATGCTGACGCTATCGAGACTGAGCAAGACGCCCTAGACGAAGAGGCAGAGGCCAGACGCATACAAAAGAAGCAGCTACAGAGCATGACCGAAGCTGATTTTGGCTTCGACCAAGATGAGTGGCTTGGAGAGGATAGTGAAGAGAATGCTGAAGGCGCAGCAGTGGTTACTGAGGTTCTTCCTCAACTTCAAATCACAGATGCCATGTCACAGGAGGAAAAGATGAAAATTATGCGGACACGATATCCCGAGTTTGAGCACATTTCCAAGGAGTATTTGCGACTACAACCCCTGCATGAGGAATTGGCCGCTGCTGCTAATGCCGCTGAGAGGGTACTGAAGGCGCAGGCGGCAAAGAATAACAGATTGGTTCCTACACCCACGGTCATAACAAAGTACCGTGCATGCGCGGCTTACCTCGCTGCAATGGCTATGTACTTTGCTGTTCTTGGTTCCACCGCTACAGATGACGCAACTCCAGCCATCGCGCTGGACCCTGTCGAGTTACATGAGCACCCGGTTATGGAGAGCTTGCTCAAGTGCCAGAAGATGTGGACAAGGGTAGAGAGCCTGCCAATCGCTGATCCCATGGTTGAGACTGAAGATGGTGACGACACTTCTGAGGATGAGGCAAGCTTTGCAGAGAGTGACAACGCCGATCTGGCTGTCAAGAAACCCACGAAGCAGAAGAAGACCAAGGCGCAAAGAGCGGCAGAGATTGCGCAGGCAGAAGCAGCAGCACGACGTGCAGCGAAATTGGCCAAGACTGAGCAAGATCTCGCGTCGCTCGATATGCTTGCAGACAAGGCTGCTCTCAAGAAAGCAGCGCGGAAGAAGAAGATCGCACAACCCAAGCTCAACCTTCTCAACGCCGACGACTCAGACTTTGGCGAAGAGACAGCCCTCACCGCCCACGAAGCAGCCGAAAAGGCGAAGAAGAAGCGCTCCCTCCGCTTCTACACCTCTCAAATCGCTCAAAAAGCCAACAAACGAGATGCCGCAGGCAAGGACTACGGCGGCGACGCCGACGTCCCCCACCGCGAACGCCTCAAGGACCGACAAGCTCGTCTGCAAGCCGAAGCTGAGAAACGCGGCCAGCACAAGGACGCTGGACCAGGCGTGGCACTCGGCGACGACGATGGTGCATCTTCTGCGGATGAAGCTCCCGGTACCCGTCGTGACGACTATGAAGACGAAGACGGTTACTACGACATGGTCGCCGCCCGTTCCAACGACAAAAAGCAAGCGAAACTTGAGCGCGCAGAAGCGTATGCCCTTGCTAAGCAACAAGGTGCTCAAGTCATTGAAGAGGAGATTATCGGGGATGATGGACGGCGTCAGATTTCTTATCAGATTCAGAAGAATAAGGTATGTTTACCCCTTATGCAGCTTTTGCTATGTACCCGTATATATATGCTAGTTTTGGGGTGGTACAAATGCTAACATGTTTGAAACAGGGATTAACACCCCATCGCAAGAAGAGCGTACGCAATCCGCGTGTAAAGAAGAAGGAAAAGTACAAGGAGAAGCAGAAGAAGCTCAAGAGTATGAAGCAGGTGTTTGATAAGAGTGCTGCGGCCAAGGGAAGCGCTAGTTATGGGGGTGAGCTTACGGGTATCAAGAGTGGACTGGTTAGGAGTCGGAAGCTGTAGTTGGATTTGTAGAGGAAAATATGTCTTCTGCGTCGTTCTGGGGTACGTTGTATGATCGGAGCAAAAAGGCATTGTTAATTGCCAAAAGCCATGATTCGTCTGCACGAGTGGATCATACTATTCAAAGAATTTATTCATCCCGTCCTTTTATATTTTCTCTAAAACGCCTTGCGAAATGCTACGATATCTCACGCTCGACCCATACAGTCGAGTCGATAAGAAAGAAGAAAAAAAAGGACATACAAACATCTTAACACCACAACCTCAGCGTTCCATCCGCACCCGCAGAAACACACCACGGCTCCTTGGGATGCCAATCCAACGCCATAACACCCAGCTTACTCTTCACCTTGTGCCCCTTGAGCACCTTCAACGGCACAATCGTCGCGTTCTCCATCAAATCACCCACAACCTTGCCATGGAAAACCTGAATCGTGCCATCATCCGAAGTATCAGCAAACAGCGGCAGACCACCCTGATGAAACTTGACCGAGCGCACAGCCTCCTTGTGGAACCGCATCGTCTTGTACGGTTTAGTCGAGAGATCCATGTCCATCCAGAGGACACGCTTGTCGTACGAACTAACAATCAGATTGTCGCCTCCCGGGTGGACATCGATGTTGGAAATCCATTTCGCGCCGGGTTGCAGTATCTTAACGAGTTCCTGTTTGGCGAGGTCGTAGGCGCGGATCGTGTTGCGGGTTGCTGCGAAGAAGATTGCTTTAGACGGGTGGAACTGTGCTGTTTGGGCTAGACCTTTGAGGCGGCGGAAGGGGAGTTGAGTAAGGTGCTTAGAGATTGCGTGGATGGCGATTGCGGTGGATTGGCCGCGGGGGGAGACGGTGGTGAAGTATTCGCCTTTGCGGTGCCAGTTTAGGACTTTGATGGCGGAGCGGACTTGAACTTGGAGGAGGACACCCTTGGATTCGAGGCGTGTACCTGGACGGCTCCATTTTCCTGGGGGTTGTTTAGGCGCGTCTTCGCCTTTGGGTGTTGTGGTGCCTTTTGTGGCGGCGTAGCCCCAGCCCGCGTCGAGGACGTCGCGGCTGGCTTGTTCGATATCGGGGGAGAGAAGGGTAAAGGGTACGATAAGGAAGACGTTCTCGCCACAGGCAGCTGCGACGATAGATGCGTCTTTGGTGGGCCTCCATTGTACGGCGTCGACAGCCTCTTCGTCTGAGAGCTTAGCATTCCAGACTTGTCGGCCGGTCAGGATTTCCCAGATTCGAATGTAACCGTCGTCGCCTCCGCTAGCAACAAAGATGCCGTGTGGATCAACAGAGACGCAGCGTACGCGCCCTTCCTGTCCACGGAAAACTGCAGCACAAGTTGTAGGGAAAGGCTTGAGTTCCTCGGGGTTCGGTAGCTTGGGCAGTAGGGATTCCGGGTCGATATTGAGTCGGTTTCTTCGCACACGAGGAGCCAAGTAGAGATCCAGACTTCGCTCGAATCGTTCCTTGACAAATGTCTCGTAGCCTGGAACTTTGCGTAGCGCATCGTAGTTCTTGGGCAAGAATTCCCTCTCCCGGTCCTCCTCGTCTGCCTCCAACCAAGCCTTTTCCTCATCCTTGTCTGGTAGGTACTCGGGTGGTGGGTGGTAGCTCGCTTCGTAACCTGGCGGTGGCAGCTTGGGAGCGGGAATGTGCATTGTGTTATCTGGCCGGGGCTTCTCGTCGGCCCAAACGTCAAAGGTGAATTCATCCTGCTCTTCTTCCTCTTCTTGCGGCGGCTTGTAGGGCTTGATGCGACCCTCTTTGATGGCCTTGACAAGCTTCATGACACGCTTGGCTTCGTGCTTAGAAGGAATGAATCGCCGCTTGGGCTCGGGCGCAGCGCTCAGTGGCATAATCTCCTGCTTGCCGGAGAAGTAGGCGACCATCTCTGGGTATGGGTCATAGCCGTCCTCGACAACTTCATTCCTTGTGAGTCTCTTGAGCACGTCCAGCTCCTCTTCCGATAGGTTCAGCGGTTTTCCTGTCTCGGGATCCGTCAGACCTGTCCAGCCCTTGGGTATGTCAATGCTGTCCAAAAGCGCATCCAATGCCTCTCCCTTGGCCGGACGCATGATCTTCTTGCCGTTGATGTCATAGCCGATGTGGGGATATTCATCGTAATACTTGAGGTCAATGTTGCCAATTGTGTTTGTAGCTTCGGCGTCGGAGTCGTCCGACTCGTAGATTGGGTCAATCTCTTTGTACAGGTAGCGGGTGTTGCCGTGTGCGTCTGTTGTCACAGTGTAATTGGGCTTGAGGTTTTCGTCGTCGTCTAGCTCCGCGCTTGCGCCAGTATCGAGGTCCATCTCATGGGTCGGTAATCCCTTCTTCTTTCGCAAAGGCCCGTCAGAGGTGTTGAGGTTGCGCATTTCCTCACGAATTTGCTCTTCATCACTGTTCTCCTCTTCCTCCTCTTCATCTTCTGC